CCCCCCCCCCGTACTTCATCGTCCGTCCTGGGCGCCCCCGAGGCCCGGCTCCTGGTTTCTCTGGTTTAAAAAAAATCCCACATTTTTGGATGAAAAAAAGTAACCCAAAAGCCATGTTTTTTCCTGTGATGGAGGTGAAACGCCACGGATACATTTAGGGATCGGATCTCGCGGCAGAGGTGGTATCATCCTTTATTAAACCAGCGGGAGTTTTGCTTTAAAAAAGTGTCTTTTTATCGCAAAAATTTAGTCGGTTTAATAAAAGTTATCATCACCTCTAACCGCGAGTTTTGCCTCTAGATCGATCTGGATACACCTGGATACCTGGCTCAGATATTGGGGGGTTTTCCGGATTTTATTTAGATTTTTTTTCCCAGAGGAATATATTTAGATTTTTCCCTGGATTTTATTTAGATTTTTTTCCAGATGAATATGCTTAGATTTTTTCTGGACTTTATTTACATGTTTTCTGGATTGATATATTTAGAATTTTTCTGGATTTTATTTACATTTTTTTCCGGATGAATATATTTAGATTTTTTTCCAGAATAAAACAAGTCACCCCCAAATCCACCTTTTTCCGTGATCAAACCGAAACACCGCTCTCTATCTCTTTATAACGCTCTCTCGATCTCGGTATAACTCGATCTCTCTCGATATATTCAGGTATCTCTATAGCAGTGTTTCAGTTTGATGATGGAAAAGTGCGGAGTTGGGGTTACTTTTTTTAATCCGAAAATTGGGGATTTTTTTTTTCTTTCTTTTTTTTTTTTTTTTTTAATCGGAGCAAACCGGGATCTGTGCTTGGTAGGTATCCGTGCCTTTGGCCTCGCTACCCTCCGCGCGGCTTCAGCTAGTGGTGCTTCCTACTTCCTTCCTTCCTTGACCTCGCTGCGTGGTTTGCAGCCGCCGTGGTCTGTGTTACTGGGAAGTGACGTGCGTTGGGATGCTTTCAGCAGGGCTGCACCAGTGCTCCTACCGGGGCTCGCACCCAGAGGCTCCTGGATAGAGGGTCTTGCCCCCGCGCTCAGGCTCAGACCGACGTTGCACTGGGGCAGGAAGGGATTTCCCCCCTGCTCAGACTGGTACAAACTGGGGGACGGTTGCCTTCCTCTGCAGCGGGGGCACAGTCTCTGCCTGGGCTCTCTGCAGTGTCTATGACCCCCCAGCCCGGGCTTTCCCTGCAGCAGGTCTGGGTGCGAAGCCTGGCGCGGTGCCAGGGCTGACTTTGCTCGGAGGTTCGATGCTGGGTTTGTCTGGGCTGGTTTGGACGGGGCCGGGGTCAGGCTGGATGTGACCTCTGTGGGTTCCTTCCAGCCCCGCTGCGGTCTGACTCCGTACCACAGTGGATCAATATGAGACTCTCAGTTCCTCGTAGAGCCTCGTTTTCTGGAGGAGGCGGTGTTGAAACGTGTGCGTTCCTCGCTGTGTGTAGCCAGTGTGACAGCACACGTGTGGAAACACGTGTGAAGCGTTGCAGGAGCAGGACTTAAGAGAAGCAAGGTCTGAGCAGTTCTAGCCACTCGCTCGTCATCCGTGTAGGAGACAAGCAGGGGTCTCTATATGTAACTAAGGAGCGTGTTTTGCCCCCCAGTACTCGTGTTCTTCGGGCTTCTGGGTGCCCGGACACTGCAATTCCCTTTGGCTCCCAAATGCTGCTGCATAAAGTGCGTCTCTGCCTCAGTTTCCCCCTCCCTAAGAAAGGGATAACACTTCTAAGCCTCCGTGGGTTGTTAATAGGAGAAACCCCTGTGTGCTAGTTAGGTGTTTGCTTGCTGCAGGGGTCCCTGTGGGTGCCTGCCATAGGCAGATTGCTTTAAGCTGAACATGTCTCAGTTTTTCCATCTATAAAATGGGAATAATCCAAGCCTGGCGATCTCCTTGATGACTATACAATCTACATGCAAAGTGGAAGGTGAAACCCTGTCTCTGAACTTGTCTTCTGGTTTTACAGGTGTTTCAAGTGAGAGAGTCCCTCCCCACCCCCCCCCCCACCCCAAGAACAAAGAAACGGCTCAAAGATGTCGGACAGCGAAGACAGCAACTTCTCGGAGGATGAGAGCGAGCATAGCAGCGAGGCGGAGGAGGTAGAGGAGAATGAGGTGAGGCTGAAGGAGGGAAGGAGCCTTTGCTCTGAAGGGGCCCCTGGGGTTTGTGCACGGTTACAATAACCCAGGGTGATGTTTGAGCACGGCTTGAACAAAAGAGGTGGCCCAGGGGTCTGGACCCCGGGAGGCTGCTGAGCTGGGAGTCTGGACACTTGGGTTCTGTCCCCAGCTCAGCCTCGGGCCTCGATCAAATCGCTTCCCCCTCCTCTGAGCCTTGGGGCCCTGAGCGCTGCAGGTGCGAAGCTCTGGGTCCGAGCCCCAGGCCACCGGTTCCAGCCTGACTCCGTTTATTCACGTATCACACTCACATTTCCCCTAAAATTTAGCGCCCGAAAACTGGGGTGAAGGATATGGATTCAGAGCAGTGGAGCTTAAAAGAAAGATCTTTTATTTCTTCGCCCTGCTTTCAAGGCACGAGTCTTACCGTATTTTCTAGTATACAGCGTACATGCTCTCCCCAATAGCTGCTGGAAATTTGGAATGTTCATTATATGTTGCAAATACGGTAAGAGCCATTTCTACTGCTTACAGAGCACAAGCAGAAGTAAAATCTGCATGCGATTCTCAGGGAGTAGGCAGGTGAGCAGACTCGGCTCCCCCGCTTATCATGCCAGGTCGTGGGCAGTCAGGTCTAGGGGGTCACCCAGGGTCAGAAGAAGCAGCCAAGGTTGGAGGGGAGTGTTCAGAATCTGAGTGTAAGGAAGCCGGAAGATCCATCCGGGGAACCACGTCAGAGATTGAGAGAGTCAGGAAGGGCACTAGATTAGGAGACCAGGGGGGGTGGGTATCCAGGAGATCAAACCAGAGTCAGGTAAGGCCAAACTCCAGGTCTGTGGGCAAGCTGGACCATGGGTCAGGTATCCAGAGAATCCACCGGAGCTAGTAAAAGCACAAGCGAAGAGGGAGGCAGCCTGGGTGCAAGAGTTGAGCCTTGTTGCCCAGACCCTTCCCTTTCCGGGTCAGGGTTTTGTATAGGAAGGGGTCAAGGGTCAACTGACCCAGGATGGCCACTCTGGTAGCAGGGAGTGGGCAGGTGGCTGGGCCGAGTGATCAGATTCTGATCGTCTATGTCTGCCCCAGTGCTCTGCTGAGGAGGTGGCAGACTGGGTGCCAGATAAGCCAAGGCCCCAAGTTCAAGTAACTTGCTACAAGGAAAGGCCTCTCTATTTTTGCTCCTGCCTTTCAAGAAGAAGGTGCACATCTCGCTCTGGGCTGCGTTGTATGTGAGGAAATGCAGTACTTAGGGGTATGTGGATAAATACAGCATCCCTGCTGGGGAAATGAGTTTGGCTGGTGTCCGTCAAGCAGGACCCATGTCCCCATCACAGGCTGCTTCCTGCCACATTGTCCCCCCTCCTTACCTCTGTTGTGGCCTTCTCAACTGTGGTGGGGTCCTGGACAGTCCCTTCTCCCAGGGAGGAGTGAAGCTAGCCCCTTGGAGACCCCCTTAGGCAGGACAGAGGGCCCTAACCCCTCCCCCCCTCTCCCCCTTTGCAATGCGCAGGCAGAGGAGGAACATGCCAGTGTGGCAGGCAGTGAGAAGGAGGAGGCCGAGGAGGAGGAAGAGGAGGAGGAGGAAGAATATGATGAGGAAGAGGAGGAGGAAGATGATGACCGGCCAGCCAAGAAGCCCAGGCATGGCGGCTTCATCCTGGATGAAGCTGGTAAGTAAGGGGGCACCAGACATGGGAGGTGAAGCCTCCTCTTGGGCCAGGTTCCCTGGGTGACTAGGGAATTTGATTTCACCCAGAGAAGGACAGGAGAAGCCAAAGCAAATTTCTCTCAACAGTACCCCAGTTTATTGGGGTATTATCCATCAGCTCCCTTGAAAATGCCCTTGCCCTCTGCCTTCTCTCACGTGCTGATTGTTGGGATCCAGACTGAGCTGCATCTGGGAGGAGGGATGGAGGAACACCTGCAGCACAGCACCATGGAGTGAGGGGGGTTCAGCCTCTGTGTTTGGCATGCAGCAGATAAGGCAGGGGGCACATGGCAGGGAGCAGACAGCTAAGCAGCAGATAGGGCAGGAGGCGCACGGCGGGGAGCAGAAAGGGGAGCAGCAGACGAGGCAGGGAGAAGAAAGTAGCAGCAGTAAGGAGAGCAGCTGATGGGGCAGGGAGCATAATGCAGAGCTGTAGGTGCAGGCATAGGGCAGGGAGCAGAAAGCAGAACAGCAGACTGGGTAGGGACTTTCTGGCTGTCCTGAGCAGTGGAGGAAGGAGGCTTCTCTTGGGGTCTGTCCTGAACAGATGGAGCTGCTGGGGACCTCAAGCAGGCAGCATTGGAGCTGCCCCTTGCCCCGTAACCAGCCAGATCCCGCCTGACCTTGCGGGTCTCTCCTCTCTCTTCCCCCCCTGTCTCCTGCAGACGTGGACGACGAGTACGAGGACGAGGACCAGTGGGAAGATGGAGCTGAGGACATCCTGGAGAAAGGTAAGGCCAGGCACCCCTGAGCCCTGCTCCCAGTAGGCTCCAGACTCTTCCCTCCAGAGCTTTTGGGTTGGCACCTTCCCACTGGAGCTGTGTCCCTGCATTCACAGACCCCTCACGCACACCCCCAACCCCCCCCCAGTGCCCTTCGTGGTGCTCGAAGAGACCTGGGCACCGCAATGTCACTGAGCTCTGTGAGGGTGAGGGGCTAGCAAAACCCTTTCTTTGGGGGCCCAGTCCCAGCACTCAGGAGATGGCACCAGGACCCAATCCAGGTGAGCACGGGGTTCTCACACCACTCCCCTGGCTCATGGGGCCAAAGGGTTGAGCACTGGTGTGGTAGGGGCTTGCTGTGCTCTCTGGGGCATGGGTTCAGCGTTTGTACAGCACCTTGCATGGGGGTCTTGCCTCACAAGCAGAGCTCCTAGGTATAGCTGCAGCGCATGTAATATCAGTCCACAAGCTGGAAGCCAGCTGGCCTGGTTCGATCCCAGGCCCCCACCGCACATTACATATATAACACCATTAACTGACAAATTGTGCAATAAATGCAGACCAGCCACACATGCAAAGGGATTATCATGCCATAAAAAATGGCTGTCCAGCTACAAAGTTAGCTTGAAAACATGGGACAACTTTATAGCTGGTTTCTATCCAGGTTTAATACGAACATGTAGCAGGGCCCCTTGAGCTGTCAAAATACTGTATTTTCTGATCTACAACACGCCTTTGTTTTTGAAGGGCAAAAAAGATCTTTCCTCATAGTAAGTAACTGAGTAGCAGCAGCCAGGCCTGTTTCCTGCACATCTCTGCAGGTTTTCCTCCCTATTTCGGTGGCAGAACCCTGCTTTACCGTATTTCTCACCTATAATACACCCGCCAGGTTCCAGCACCGGTTTCTTTCGGAGAGTCAGGGGTAGGAGCTTACTGTATGTGACAAAATGCAGCAGCCCTCTTGTTTGCAACAGGATGGAATTTTCCCTGGCTGCTGATAGCTTTAGTTACCTTCCAGAGCCAGACATCAGTCAGTGGCCAGGCCCAGATTCGAGACCTTTAGAGCCAGAAAGTCCCGGGAACTTTGAGTCAGTGGAGGCACTGTCAGAGCCAGCTCACTGCTGGCCAAATCCCCAGACCCAGTTTTCCGTTAAATGCTTTTAAAATGCTCCCAAGACGGGTTTATTGCAGAAGCAGCTCCATAGCTAGTGGTTGGGTTGGGTCGGGCAGGGCTGATGCTGTCTGGAACGAGGGGATAGACCAGTGCGACCTGAGATACCTGCCCTGTTTTCCTCCAGTTCTATAAACCCTGATTTTTATTTTCAGCTGCTCCTACTATGCAGTTAAGCCAGCTGATTGCACCCGGCACCAGGAAAACCCCCTGAGCCTGATCCTGGGTCGATCCCTTCGTTTCAAACACCAGCTTCAGATTGACAAACCTTTGGAAGAATCAGTGGGAAAAGAGACCGGGTGTCTCGGAAACCCCTGAAAAATGAGCCAGATAACAAAAACCTCCCACTTTGGTTGCAAAGTCCATTTCTGGCTGCATTTTGAGCCGGACAAAATGCATCTCTGAGGCTTATCTTTGCTAGAGACGCCTGTGACGTCTCAGCTTCATGAGCCGTGGTGGCTGTGAGAGGCTACAGTCCACGGAGCTTCTTAGGGCTCTGTTTCGTCGGTGGGTTTGTCATCTGACCCTGGTTTGTTTCCAGAGCTGGAGGGTTGTTAAAAGCTGCTGCGGGGTGGATGTGCTCCTGCTCGGCTCCGATCTGCCGCTGGAGCCCTTGTAACGCTGGTGTCCCCCCGGGGCGCCCTGATGGGATCAGATCTCCCGCACCTAATCGTGGAGGGGTTCGGGGCTGCGTGGTTTGGAGTTTCCCTTGAGGTGAACCCCAGGGAAGAGACTTCTTGTTCTGGTGCTGCTGATAGCAGGGTGGGGGGATCACTGGCTGCAGCGCGGGGTTGGCCCTTCCCAGAGGAACCTCATTAGCAGGCTTGCAGCCGCAGCTGGTCAGTGGCTTTTCTGACCGCTCCTGGGAGCAGCAGCTGCAGGCAGGAGACATGTCAGGAGCATCTGAGCTCCAGGAGATACCCACTGGTCCCATGCACAGCTCCACGTCCCCGCTTCACTGACCTCTCTACAGTGCTGCCTTGGCCAAGCTCATTACCTGGGGCTGCCCTTGCTGGAGTGACGGCCTACGGAGCCATGGCCCTTGGAGGGCTTGGGAAAGGACATCTTCCCTCCCGCCCCTAGCCCCATAATGCCCCTTGCAGCCTGCCAGCTGGGCCTTCTGCCTGGCTGACAAGTGCCCTGAGGTTTGACCGATGGTTGAAAATACTGGGGGGATTGGATAAAGGGGCTATTTCCTTTATAGATGCTAAGGCCAAGGGCGGGGGCAGATCTATGTCATGAGCCTCCCCTGGTGTAACCCAGGTCCTCCAACTGCCCCGTGCTGCCCCCCACCATCCCTCCTGTTCACTTCCCTCGTGCATCTCATTTGCTCCCGCTTGGTTGTTGTTTTTTTTTCTGCCGCATCTTAATTTTGTTACTTCCCATTTTCTGTTTTTCCCCCTTCCCCTTTCCAACCCCTCCCTCCGTCCCCCCCATGGTTGGTTTTGATGCTATTATTTGGCTCATCCTGTCTGCCTTCCACCATCACCACCTGCTCCTGAGCAGAAGAGATCGAAGGTAAGTCAAACCTGTCTTCATTCCAGCCTACCCCACCTCTTCACTGCCCCCTTTCCCTCAGCCTTGCCTTTCTGCCTGGTCTTTTTTTTTTATAAACCTCCCCTTCCTTTGCTTCCAGGGGTGCCAGAGGCCACTGATCCTCGGCCATGGGGCGGGAGAGGGCAGGGGGTTTGCTGTCTTCTGCATGCAGGCTGGAGGGCCAGGCACACGCAGGGCTGCGTGTGAGCTCCCACATGTTCCTGCTCTTATCTCTCTTTCTCTCTCCCCTTCTCTCTCTTTTTCTGTCTCTCTCTTGCCTGGTGGTAGATGTAGTGTGGAGTGGGCACTCTTTTCTCTTCCAGCTGCTGCCGTGGGGGTGTTCAGGCTGGCTAGTTGTGGCCTGGCTGCAGCAGCCATGTGTCCGTGTCCCAGACACCTGGGTTCTGCTGGGTGTGCGTGTGTGTGTGTGTGTGCGCGCGCGCGCGCATGCATGAAGTCTCTGGCTGGACTCGGTAGTAGTGTCCATGTTTGCATGTGAATGTGAAGGTCCAATGGCTTGACTGTAGCGGTTGGGTGGGCTTAACTCAATGGCAGCCGTGTGTGGGTTTGACTTAATAGCAGCCATGTTTGGGTGTGTGTGTGTGTGTGTGGTGGGGGCTTTAATGGCTGCCATGTTTGCACGCGCACACATTTGTGTGGGTGAAGTCGCAGTGGCTTTTCTTCATGGAAAGCTCAGTTGGGTATGGATTTGCGTGCATGGGAGGGATGAAGTCTGGATAGCTTGACTCAGAAGCAGCTGTGTGTGTGAACTTCATGGCTTGCTTCTATAGCAGCCCTGTGTCTGTGCAAGCATAAAAACTCAATGGCCTGCCTCTACGTGGCCATATGCATATATGAGCACAAAGGTTCGAGGGCCTGCCTCTACAGCCGTGTTTGTGTGGTGTGGGGCAGGCTTGCTAGATCTACCTCGAAGCCGATGAGCCTGTGGGCAGCATTACACCAGCCCCAAACCCTCTGCCACAAGCCAGTGGCCCCCACGAACTCCCTTCGCGGGGTCCCCTCTCAACTGGCTCCTGTTCTGGCCATGCCACGGCTGGGGCCCCCAAACTCCTCTTTCCCCGACTTCCCCCCCCCTCCTCCCTTCATGGCTGGCCTAGTCCTGCTATGCTCAGAGGGGGGGGTTTAACCCCCGTCCCTCTCGCAGCCTCCAACATCGACAATGTGGTGCTGGATGAGGATCGCTCCGGGGCCCGGCGCCTGCAGAACCTCTGGAGGTGATGTCTGCCAGGGCAGGGTTTGTGGGGGGAAGGAGGGTTCGGTTGGTGCTGGCAGCAGGAGACTGTCCTGAGTAGTGAGGGGATGGGACCTGAGACCTTCTACTGCCCAGGCCCCCGTGGCAGAACTGAGGAGAGGGAATCCCCATTTGCAGTTTGAAGGCTTGGATCCTTGGGAGGAATCCAGGGCAGGGGTGATCACATCCAGCCTAGTACACTGACCCTGGGGCTCTGCTTGAAAGCTAGGGTCCAGCCTACTGCCATGTCAGATGTGGGGCTGGAGATACCCCCCCCTTCCCCCTTTGTGCAGCCATGTCTCCATCCTTCAGCATTTTGGAGGGGAGAAAGGAGATGGTAGTGGGGAGAAACCAACCCTTGAGCTGGTCCCAGAAGCTCCATGAGCTCTTGGGAGTGAATCCATCAAGGTGGAGCTGTGGGTCTTCCCCCTCTTTTCCCCCCTCCAACACATTGCTCTGACCCATTTTCTTGCTCACTTTCCCTTCTCTTCTCCCCACAGGGACCAGCGGGAGGAGGAGCTGGGCGAGTACTACATGAAGAAGTATGCCAAGTCCTCAGTGGGAGAGACGTGAGTGTCAGATCCCCGGGGCCGCAGCCCGGCCCCTGCCCCTCCAGGACTCTGAGAGCAGCCTAGTACCCTTGCAGATGGGCTCCTTCGAGGACATGGGGCACAATGAGCGTCCTTTTTTTCCCACAAAGCTGGAGGGAAGGAGGGCCTGAATCCAGCCAACGATGGTCAAATTCTGGTCACCGCACCTCTGAAAGGATATAAATCAGCATTCCCTTGATTTGGGGATGTTCTTTATCACGGCTCATGTTTGGGTTTGGGGTGATTTAAGGGTCTGATGGATAGGGTGTAGAAGGAGGATATAGAAGAACTAGAGAGGGCGAAGGGCAACAAGGATGATCTGTGCTATGGAGGGGCTTCCCTAGCAGAAGAGACTAGCAGGGCCAGTCCTGGTCAGTTCAGAAGAGAGATGCTTGAGGGGGACAGGACAAGGGTTTACAACATACAAAGAGGTGGGGGAGAGAAAGTCCCTAGGGATTGATCCCTGGCTGTGTCTCACCAGACAAGGACAACAGGTCATGGCATGAAATGAGCAGGCTGGCAGTTTAAAACAAACACCAGGATGTCCATTTCCACCCATGAAAGGGGGAGAGCTTGTGAACACCAGATGTGGGGGAAACTGAGAGTTTAGCTAGATTCAAAAAGGGACTGGATCAGTTCTTGGAGGAAAGGGGCATCGGGAGCTGTTGAGCATGGGAGTGTGGGGCACGGCCTCTGAATCGGAACGCCTTGGACCTTCAGTGGGTCTGACCAGGACACTGCAGCTCTTATGTTTTTAAGTCCCACGGCTGCCGTTAGGGCTGTGACCTGTCTTCTGGGCTGGGTCCATTGAGGGGAGGACCTAATGCCCATGGGGCTTGGAGTACTGCGTCCAGTTCTGGGCACCGCACTTTAAGAGGGATGTGGCCTGCCTTGAGAGGGTTCAGAGGGGGGCCACCCGCTTGGTTGGAGGGCAACAGGGCAGGCCCTTTGAGGAGAGGCTGAGGGACTTGAACCTGTTCAGCCTCAGAAAGCGGAGGCCGAGGGGGGATTTGGTGGCTGCCTACAAACTGGTTAGGGGAGATCAGCAGCAAATAGGAAGGGTCCTATTCCCCCCCAGCACCACCTGGGGTGACGAGGAACAATGGCCAGAAGCTGCTGGAGAATAGGTTCAGGTTAGAGAATAGGAGGCACTGTTTCACTGTTAGGGTGGCTAGGATCTGGAACCAACTTCTATCTTGGGTAAATTCAGAAAGAGGTTGGATGAACACCTGTCTGGGGTTGTGTGATCCCAGCGTGTGCTCCGGCCAGTGGCAGGGGGGCAGACTAGATTATCTATTTAGGTCCCTTCTGCGCCCTAAGTACTATGAAACCACGATCGGGGTTATGACCCCTACTCTATGGATCAGCTGCCTTTGGCTCTGCCGTTTTCATGAGGTGCCAGTAACCTCTCCTCCTTGGGGTGAAAGGCTGGAGTGTGAGGAGCAGGCCTGGGCTGTCAGGAGTCCCATCTGCCCCAATTTCCCTGGTCCCACTGCTGTCCTCTGGCCTGAGGTCTTGTTCTGCCCTTCTTCTCCCTTGTAGGGTCTATGGCGGCTCCGACGAACTATCAGACGACATCACGCAGCAGCAGCTGCTGCCCGGTGTGAAGTAAGTGCCTGGTATTGGGCTCTGACGGGGGAGAGGGGATGATAAAAGGGGGTCTGGGATCAGCGGGAGGGTTGGCCAGGGTTGTGGCATCCCACCCAGGGCGGGTGGGCAGGGGTTGCTGAGGGAAGGATGCCAGGGTGCGGACAATCTTGGAGCAGGGACCCTCAGCCCTTCTCTTCCCTTCTCGCCCCTCCAGGGACCCCAACCTGTGGACTGTGAAGTGCAAGGTACAGTGTTTCCTAGCACAGATGCCATCAAAGCAGCCCCTGGGTGGGCATGACCAAACCACTTCTCCTCCTTGAGCCAGGAAGGGGCATCCTTCCAGCTGTGGGGGCTCCAGTCCTAGCATCCTTTTCTTCCCCAGATCGGTGAAGAGCGCGCCACGGCCATCGCGCTGATGAGGAAGTTCATCGCCTACCAGTTCACAGACACGGTAAGCACATGGGTGGCTCCTGATGTAGACAGCTTCCAGCTCCAGTCTGTGTGGGTGCCCTGGGGGGGTCCGTTGCCCGTCTCTACCACGCCTCCTCTCCCCCTGCAGCCCCTGCAGATCAAGTCGGTGGTAGCCCCTGAGCACGTCAAAGGCTACATCTATGTGGAGGCCTACAAGCAGACCCATGTCAAGCAAGCCATCGAAGGCGTGGGCAACCTGCGCATGGGCTACTGGAACCAGCAGATGGTGCCCATCAAGGAGATGACGGACGTGCTGAAGGTGGTGAAGGAGGTGACCAACCTGAAGCCCAAGTCCTGGGTGCGCCTCAAGAGGGGCATCTACAAGGATGACATTGCACAGGTACGGGCTGCAGGCACCGCCTGGCTTGGGGACATGGGGGAGGGGGACATAGCTGGCACCAACAAGACGTGACCCATCAGGTAGTGCAGGAGCTGGATGCCTGGACTAGCAGCTGCTTCAGGTGGCAGCATGGCTTGGAGAGTGGACTGGGAGTCTGTGTCCGGGGATTCTGGCTCTGCCCCGCTGTGGTGACTTCATTAGGGGGTCATGGAAAAACCAGGCTGGTCCAACCCCTGCTTACAGCTACACCATCCACAATCAGAGCAACTCGAACAAAGGCCCAGCCTCAGTCCCTGGGTTTACAAAACACTAAATGGTGAAGAGAAAATCAGTAAGGATTTATTCTTGGCTGTCTCTCGCCAGACAAGAACGAGGCGCCACAGCATGAAACTAATAGGCAGTAAGTTTAAATCGAACACAAGGAAGGTCTTTTCCACCCAGCATGGAATGAAAGGGGGGAGCTCGTGGCCACCAGATGTGGGGGAAGCTGAGAGCGTAGCCAGATTCACAAAGGGACTGGACACGTTCTTGGAGGAAAGGGGCATCGGGAGTTCTTGAGCGTGGGAGTGCAGGGCATGGCCACTGCGCGTGGACTTCCAGTGGCTGCAAGGGAGAGAGGAAAAAGCGGGGAAAGCCCTGCTCAGACCCAGTTGCTCTCCCTTCCAGCCTCTGCCCTCTGCCACTGTGTAACACAGGAGACTGGGCAAGATGGGCCTATGGTCGGACCCAGTAGCTCGTATGTGCTTATATCCTGAAGCCAGATGGGTGTGATCACAGGCTTCTCCGCCTCCATTAGAGCCATGGGGGAGGGGGGTGATTGACATTGCTCTCAGAGCCTCTCATCGTCCTGCAAGCCACTGCCTGTGGGATCGTGTCTCTGGTAGGCAGCCCTGTAACCCTTCTGCTCCTCTTCCCGGCCAGGTGGACTACGTGGAGCCTAGCCAGAACCAGATCTCCTTGAAGATGATCCCGCGCATCGATTTTGACCGCATCAAAGCCCGCATGAGCCTGGTATGCACGAGAGGTGCCTGCTGTGCTGATTCCTCCCGTGTCCTGACCCTGGCACTTCCAATTCTGGTGGCTTTTGGGCACGTTCATCCTAAGACCTTAGAAATCATAGAGAAGTCAGGCTGGAAGGGACCTCCAGAGGTCACATCTAGTCCAGCCCAATCTTCAAAAGGAGACGGGACACGCAGCTTGCTGGGGTTATTTGACCCCAGGGGGGCTTGGGGGTGGACCCCTGATGATCTCAGAAGGTCCCTTCCAGCCCTGAACTTCTGTGAATCTGTGAACCCCCTTGCCTGAGGCAGGATCACCCCTGTCCAAACCATCCCAGACAAATCCATCATCCAGCCTCCTAGCAAAACTAGACAGTCAGCCTGACTGTCACACCTGAAACTGCCACAGGTGAAGCAGCATCCAATGTTCTGCTGTTAAAGGGAGTTCGTAGATGCTCGAGAGATCCCAGGCAGAAGCTGTGTCCCCACTGCAGAGAAAGGCAAACCCCTCCCCAGTCCAGACTAGTCTAACCAATGGGTCAAATCCCTTCCTGACCCCAAATGCAGTGTTGGTTTGAGCCTGAATGCAGGGGAAACATCCTGTAGCCAGGACCCTGTGGGGTTGGTCCTAGCAGGAGCATTGATGGTCCTGCTAGGACCATCCCCAGCCTGGCCCACAGCCAACACCCAGTGCTTTAAGGAAAGCTTAAAAGAACCCACACCTGCCCCAAAAGCACACATACAAAACGTACATCTTCAAAGTTCCCAGCCTGTTGGGCTGTAAAGCACGGACCTGCTGTGAGGAGCTTGCTCTGAGGGCATCGCTGCTGTCCTGGTTGTGGCGGGTGATGGCCCCAGTGAGACTGGCCAACCATGCTCCAGAGGGGACCTGCTAATAGCATCAGACAGGAATCGGGTTCATAGAATCCTAGACAATGAGGGTCAGAAGGGAGCTCAAGAGGTCGCATCTAGTCCAACCCTCTGCTTAAAGCAGAACCAGCCCCATCTACATCCAGCTATATTGGTAGGATCCTTGTTCAGTCCCAGCAGGGTCGTTCCTGGTGAACCACCCCAGATGCACCTTGATGTAGCCACGGGGGGAGATTCCATAGCTGCCCCATCCCCCAGTCCCTTCACCCTCACATTTTCCTGGGCCCAACATTAACCGTCTCCATCCTGCCCTGCAGAAAGACTGGTTTGCCAAGCGGAAGAAGTTCAAGAGGCCCCCACAGCGGCTCTTCGATGCCGAGAAGATCCGGTGAGTGGCAGTGGGACAAGTCCAGGCACTGGGAGTTGGGGGGACGTCACCGCTGAGGATAACACCGGCCTATGGGTTGCGGGTGGCAGGGACTCTCGCTGTTCCATTGCCTCTTCTGTCTGCTCCATCTGGACATCTGGGACTAGCCTTAACAGAGGATCTAGACATCGCTGGGGAGCAGTCTCTCCCCACCCTGGGTTTGCGGTGCCTCAGTCAGCATCACTGCCCCATAATGCTTCTCCCCATCTCCCTTCTCCAGGTCCTTGGGGGGTGACGTTGCCTCCGATGGGGACTTCCTCATCTTTGAAGGCAACCGCTACAGCCGCAAGGGGTTCCTCTTCAAGAGCTTTGCCATGTCGGCTGTGGTGAGAGATGCCTCGGCGCACACTGGGCTGGAGCTGGCGGGGTGGGGAAGAGCTTTCCACCAAAAATGCAGATTACTTCCACTGAAAATTCATCCGTGTTGGTGCTGAGATGCTGCAGCAATGCATCCTGGGAGATGTCTCCCAAAGGACCTCAGTTTAGATCCAGAATCGCTGACCCAGACATGGCATGGGCTGGGGGAAGGGTTTTGTGGGGGAGATGGGCGTATCTCAGGGCATACAATGGGTGTCTGGGTTGGGGGTCTAACAGGTGGGAGAATCTCTCCCTGCCCACACGATGTACTGAGATTCTCATTGGCTCATGCCAGCTGTTTCACGGTGGGGGGCGCACAGGGGGTGGAGCATGAGATGGTGCCCATGTATTCACCCAGCAGGGAACCCCATTAACCCTTACCCGATGTCTTTCCCCCTTCTCCTGCACCCCGGGTGTGCCAGATTACGGAAGGTGTGAAGCCCACCTTGTCTGAGCTGGAGAAGTTTGAGGACCAGCCGGAGGGCATTGACCTCGAGGTGGTGACCGAGAGCACCGGTAAGTAGTGACGACTTGGATCTGGGAGATGTGAGGTTCTTACCCCCGTGGGTTGGGTCATCTCAGCCTTTTCCCAGCAATATCTGGGGCACGTGCTCCTTCCTTTCCCCTGGGTCCCTCTGGGAGGCACAGCGGGGACGGGATGTTTTTCCTGGGGAGCCCCTGTCCATTCCAAACCTTCTCCAAAGCGTTTAGAGTATGGATTTGTGGGGTAGTTTGGATAGGGCTGATCCTGCTCATAGGTGGATCTAGTATTTCAAGACGGGGGAGTGTAGATGCCATGGCCCATCGTTGCAACTAACACAATGTGTTGTTCTCCAGTTAGAGAAACTAGAAACTTTAATATGCCAGGGGGCTGGCACTATAACACTCGGTTTTAAAATCAAAGCAAAACCAAAGAGAACTACCCCTAATTCAGATTCATAAAACAAAATCTCGCCGCCTTCAGTGTCTTGATGGTGCCTCTGACACGTGACTGTCAGTCCTTTCTACACTTCAGTTCATGTGACCACACACCGGTGAAGGTTTTTGGCTAAACCTAAAAACAGTCTCCAGGGTTGTGAAACAGATGGGAGATCATAGCAGGAGTGGCTAGTAGAGGGCAACAGTCCAGAATAAAAGATGGTTTGAATAGTGGAACAAGACCATTAAAAAGGAGAGAGGGTTGTTAATACCTCTGCAGTGGAGAGGTTAGCAGGAATCAGATGACAGTGAGCCATGAAGTCAGTGGATTCCCTTGCTGCCTGGATAGAAATGCTGCTGCATCTCCTAGGCAGTTGGTTTTAAAGCGTGGGTGGAGCAGGAACCAAAGGGGGTCCCTGGATGCGGCCCTGATCCTGCCTCAGGCAGGGGGTTGGACTAGATGTCACCTCTGGAGGTCCCTTCCGCCCCACTTTTGTCCAATTCTGTGACTCTCTCCCTCCCAGGCAAGGAGCGGGAGCACAACTTCCAGCCAGGGGACAACGTGGAGGTGTGCGAGGGTGAGCTGATCAACCTGCAGGGCAAGATCCTCAGTGTCGATGGCAACAAGATCACCATCATGCCCAAGCACGAGGACCTCAAGGTGACGGGGACACCACCCCCTACTCTCCTCATCACTGGCAGCTGGGGGTGGGGGGGGTCTCGCTATCAAGGCTTGGGTTGGGGGTGGGCACGGTTCTGGTCTCCAACGTGGTTCCGGAGCTGGGAAGAATTTCCAAAAGGCTGTTATCGAATTGAACGAAGGTGGGGGCATCTCCAACCCTGGAGACGTCCCAGAGCAGGTTGCATAGACCTGTGGCTGGGGTGGTTTAGCCAGGACTGATCCTGCCTCGAGCAGGTGGCAGGACTAGGCATGACACTTCCAGCCTGACTTCCCTGCGATGCTATGAATTCTGCTGCCAGCCAGCCATGCCCCGCACCTGCCCTTCCTGCTGCTCTGACCCCCCTACCCTCACGCCCTTCTTTTCTCCTCTGCCCAGGACATGCTGGAGTTCCCGGCCCAGGAGCTGCGCAAGTACTTCAAGATGGGCGACCACGTGAAGGTGATCGCTGGGCGCTTCGAGGGCGACACGGGGCTCATCGTGCGCGTGGAGGAGAACTTCGTTATCCTCTTCTCGGACCTCACCATGCACGAGGTTAGCGGGGGTCCCAGGGGTAGATTTGGAGGGGGTGAAGTGGGGCTCCCCACCCCGTTCCGAGTTGGATCCAGCCTGGGAGTCTCTGCTAGGAACAGTGAAAGCAGGAGAGGCTGTGGGCAGGGATTTCCCCTTTGGGAACCCTCCCAATCCCTGCCCGTCTCACTGCTACAGCTATTACTGTTCCCAGCCTGCACATACCCCAGCTGGAGTGGGCAAGAGAAACTTTGAGGTTTCCCTGGACAGTGGGGAAAGCAGCAGCAGCAGGAAGGGAGGGGAGTAGAGGGGATGTGCGTAGAGGGGAATGGGGAGGAAATCTCATGTGCTTTAAGGACTTAACCAAAAGTCTCCAGAGGCTGCTGTGGCACGGTGTGTTGTAAGCACATAAGCATTGCCGTTGACTGGGTCAGACCCTGGGTCTGTCTCGCCTGGTCTCCTGTGTCACACAGTGGCAGAGAGCGGAGCTGAAAGGGAGAGTGACAGGGTCTGAGCAGGGTTTTTCCCCCGTTCCTCTCTCAGTTGCAATCATTGAGGGTCCAGGATGTTCCAGCTTGGAGGCCATGCCCTGTGCTCCCATGCTTCACAGCCCCCAATGCCCCTTTCCTCCAAGAATGTCCCCAGTCGCTGGGTGGATCTGGCTGAACTCTCAGCTTCCCCCACGTCCATTTTCCTTGAGCGCCCCCCTTTCATCCCACACTAGGAGAAAATGACCATCCTGGTGTTGGTGTTAAACTCCCGGCCTGCTCGTTTCGTGCCGTGATCTCTCGTCCTTGTCTGGCAAGAGAGCCAAGAATCAGTCCCTAGATGCTTTCTCTTAGTACGTTGTAAACCCTTGTCCTGTCTCCTCTCAAGTGTCTCTCTTTTACCTGGCCTTAGTCTCTGGGAAGCCCCTCCATAGCACTGATCACCCTTGCTGCCCTTCTTTGCACCTTCTCTGGTTCTTTTATATCCTTTTGGAGGTGCAGGGACCAGACCTGGGCGCAGTATTCAAGGTGTGGAGGCACCCTGGATTAATAAAGGGGCATCCTGATACTTTCTATTGTGTTTGCAATACTCTAAGAGTATCCCCAGCAGTTGTGGGTGGGGAAGGGGCAGTGGGGAAGGGTCTGCCCCTGCTCCCTCCCTCCCTCCCTCATGCTTACCCTCCTTTTCCAGCTCAAGGTGCTGCCACGGGACCTGCAGCTCTGCTCGGAGACAGCCTCGGGCGTGGATGTGGGCGGGCAGCATGAGTGGGGGGAGCTGGTGCAGCTGGACCCCCAGACTGTGGGTGTCATTGTCCGGCTGGAGCGTGAGACCTTCCAGGTGAGGTGGGGGTGGGGGCTTGATGTGGGCACAGTTGCTCCTAAGGCTGATACCGTATTTCTTCATGTACCGCATGCCCCCGTACCTTCAAAAACTAACCCTCCTCAGTTGGGAGGTGCATCTTAAGCAGGGAAGGTGATTTTTTTTGCACTGGAATAGAAGCATGGAGACACTGTAATGGCTGCATAGAGCACTGTAATACCTGCCACGGGCTGTCCTCCTCTCCCAGCTCCAAGGAGGTCTTTGGCATTGCTGCTATTTTTAAACCTTTCTCAGTCACTGCTGAACTGGCTGTCACTTTGGGCCAAGGGGCCAAAAGCTGCTGCTGATTCAGCAGGTGTCAGAACACAAGATCTGCTGTTCCCTGGGTCAGACCCCAGGTCCGTCCTGCCTGGTTTCCTGTGTCACGCGGTGGCTGGAAGGGAGAGTGAATGTGTCTGAGCAGGGTTTTCCCGTTTCTTTCTCCGTTGCAACCGTTGAAGGTCTGGTTTGGAGGCTGTGCCCCTCACACCCATGCTCAATAGCTCCTGCTGCCCCTTTTGCTTCTAGAATTAGTCCCATTTATTTTCTGAATCTGGCTCAACTCTGTTTCCCCCACACCAGCAAAGCCTTTGTGACCTGGGTCTGGGCCCTGCCATGATCCCTCTGAGCTAGAGGGATTCTGGGTGTTTTGGGGGGCCCCCTGGGAAACTAAGGCTGCTGTTGACCTGGGTCCCAGCCTGCCTCAGTTTCCTTGAGCCCCACTCCCTCCTGGCCCTCTTGTAGGTGCTGAACATGTATGGGAAGGTGGTGACCGTCCGGCACCAGGCAGTGACGCGGAAGAAAGACAACCGCTTTGCCGTGGCCCTGGACTCAGAGCAGAACAACATCCACGTCAAGGACATTGTGAAGGTCATCGATGGGCCGCATTCGGTATGGAGCCGGGGGCCGTCTTGCACCCGCGAACCCCCTGCCCCTTCCCGGAGGTTGTCAGGCATGGCTGCTTTAAAGACTTGTTAACACTTCTTATATTGGGGCAGGGGGTTTAAACCTTCCTACGTGGCCGTATCCCTCCTCTCTGCCAATCTCCCTTCCTGAGATCAGATGCACTTTTGGGGGGCAACGTCCTGTCTCAAGCGCCCCCAGAGAGGGCACTTAATTCCAGAAGCACTGCCTTTCTGTGCCAGGCAAAACCCTCGTTGTTGGTTCAGGGAACCTTTTGGCTACTTGGGGGTCCCGTGCCCACCTGAGCGTGGTGCTCACAGCCTCTCTTATCCGGGCAGGGCCGTGAGGGTGAGATCCGCCACCTCTTCCGTGGCTTTGCCTTCCTGCATTGCAAGAAGCTGGTGGAGAACGGAGGCATGTTTGTCTGCAAGACCCGACACCTGGTGCTGGCCGGGGGCTCCAAGGTGAGGGCTCTGGGTTGGGGCCAGGGCTGTCTGGTACTGTGGTTCTGGCCCGGCCTGGTGGGCAGATGCCCCATCTCCTAGAGCCATCGTGCCTCAGGAGATCCCCGGCTCCTTCCTGACCCCCAGTGCTATGAAGCATGGAGATCACCAGCCCAAGGCAGCGTTGTGGCCTTGTGTGGTCCAGCTGGACTCTCCTGGGTTCCTTCCCCGGCTCACAAGTGTCCCCTTCTCACCCCCCTCGTTAAAATAGAGGTGCCCACCCCAGGGGTGGGGAGAGAGGGACAAAGGGGGGGTACCCCCATAGCCCCCGTGGTGGATAGGGAGGGACCCAGCCAGCCTCCCCTCTCCTTGGGCTGCGGAAAGGACCTGCCTGTTGCCCCCTTGCTGGCTCTAGGGGTGCCACAGCACCCCCTTGTGCCTGCCCCACATGTTATCATCACATCGCTAGTGTAGAGGTGTGGGGGGGTTCCCCACCCTGCTTTTGCCCTCACAGGCTTTGCCCCCCACAGCCCCGGGACGTCACTAACTTCACCGTTGGAGGCTTTGCCCCCATGAGCCCTCGCATCAGCAGCCCCATGCACCCCAGCGGGGCAGGTGAGCACCTGGGGGCAGGTTGTAGGGAGGGTGTCTGGGGTCTTGTGATGTCTGGCTCACCCTACATGGCTTGCGGGGGATGGTCTCTGCAGCTACAGCAAGAAGTGGGTGGGGGGAGTATGGAGGCGACCTGGGATGTGGGGGGGGGCGCCAGGAGCCGGGGCCGCGGGCGCCGAGACAACGACCTCATCGGGCAGACGGTCCGGATCTCCCAGGGGCCCTACAAAGGTAAGAGGGGGCCACGGGTTCGAGTCCCACTCTTAGCTTGTGGGAACGGGTTGTGGGGGGATAGGAATGTGCGCGCGTTGGCATGTGAGGTGGGGGAAGCCACGGTGGTCACCGTGCTCCCGGGCCTTGCTCTGCCCTGGCCTTCCTGAGCTGTTGCCCAGCTTTGGGTCCACAGGGCTAACGAGTTCCAGGGCAATTTGAGGGTCTCTTGTTCCCCCTTGTGGCAGTGGGTCAAGGTGGGGGCGGCTGGGAATTTTGGCAGCATCAGGTGCCCTGTCTGTGGGCACGTGTCTTAGTGGTTACAGATGGGGGGGCTAGATCAAGCAGGACACCTGAGTTCCTTTCTCATGGGGCAGGCAGTGGGGGTCCCCTGGGAACACGTCAGTCAGCGAGGGGCGGGGGGCAAGGGAAGAAGCTGACCCCAGTCTCCCTCTGAGCAAGGGCCAGTGGATCCCAGCCCATTCCTGGTGCCTTTGAGTCCACCCCCTCAACCCCACGGGGTGTTAGCACCCCCTGCTGCCTGTGGTGGGGTCAGTGATGTGTGCTCCCATCCCTCGCAGGCTACATCGGGGTGGTGAAGGATGCCACCGAGTCCACGGCCCGTGTGGAACTGCATTCCACCTGCCAGACCATCTCTGTGGATCGCCAGCGTCTAACCACAGTGTAAGTCTGGGGCTGTGGGGGGGCATCGCTGTGCGGGGGAGAGCCCAGAGTTGGCCTCTAGGAACCATTGTAGTCTCCTGACCAGTGCTCCCCACCTCTATCTGGCTCAGCCCCCACCCTTGCTGGGGACTTGCTGTGCTGGGGTCTCACCCAGAGCCTAGCAGGGAAAGGGAGAGCTGGCAGAGTAGAGCCTAGGAGGGCAGGAGCCAGTTCGGAGGAATCCTGCAGTGTCCCGGGGGCAGGGGTGGCAGGGAATGGAGCTGCCATGAGGAGACGTAATAGAGCGTGGACCTCCTGGGGGGGAGGGCAGGGCCTGACCCCTTTTGTCCCCTGCCCCCGCCTTGAGCACCCTGCGGGGCTGGGGCAGGAAGTCTGGCATTGGGGATCTCTGGCTGCTCCCATTGCAAGGATGAGCCGTCCACGACGCCCCCACCCCAGGCACCTAACCACCCCCTCCTTCCCACCAACAGGGGCTCGCGCAGACCCGGCGGCATGACCTCCACCTACGGGCGCACACCCATGTACGGCGCCCAGACCCCCATGTATGGCTCAGGCTCTCGGACACCCATGTACGGCTCACAGACCCCGATCCATGACGGTGAGTGCCCCCCTGACCTGGGGCAGGCCAATGGGGGGTCCCTGTGGTGGGGCAGAGGCCATAGAGCCTGGGGAGGGGTCTGTAGTGGAGCCACATGGGAACCCGGGGGGGGGGGGCGTGCTGGGAGGTGCCCCTGGCCCCTATGCCCTGGGGATCGTGGGTAAACGTTTGGGCGCTGACCGGCCATGCGCTCTGGGTTCTTTGCAGGCAGCCGGACCCCACACTACGGCTCCCAGACGCCTCTGCATGACGGTAGCCGGACGCCTGCCCAGAGTGGGGCCTGGGACCCCAACAACCCCAACACGCCGTCCAGGTATGGCCTGCCCATTGTGGGGGGTGGGGAGGGGGCTGCGAGGCAGGGAGGCCGGGCGCCCATGGCCACTCTGGGCTGTGGGGCTGAAGGCTGGTGGCATTGTGGGATGCAGGTGAGGCAGAGTCGGGTGCTGCACATGACAGACGCTCATTCACACAAGTGGCCTGAGAGACCACGTGACATGCATGTGTATGTGCACGCATGCACAAGGCCACGAGGTGGACACGAGTGGTGACATGAGACGCATATGTGCACAACCACATGCAAGGGGCTGTATGACATGCACAGACACGGGGGGGAGCACGCAGCCATGTAACGGACATGAGGCCACATGACAAACTCGTGTCTGCCCAGAGGCACAAGGTACCACATAACATGCACGCAAGAGGCCCCGTGACAGACAGGAGAGGGCCAGGTCCTGCACACGCACACACTAACATACTCGCACACAGACTGCCCCGGGCTCCCTGCAGGCCTCACAGAGCGGGTGCTAGGAGAGGATTGGGCAGCACCAGGGTAGCAGCTTCCCCGGTGCCCCCTGACAGCCATGTTCTCCTCCCCCTCCCCCTCCCCGTGCCAGGGCGGACGAGGAGTTTGAGTATGGCTTTGACGACGAGCCCACGCCTTCGCCGCAGGGCTACGGGGGCACCCCTAACCCCCAGACCCCTGGCTACCCCGACCCCTCGTCGCCGCAGGTCAACCCGCCCTACAACCCACAGACGCCTGGAACGCCAGCCATGTAGGTTCATGGTTTGGGAGCGGGGGGAATGGCTACCAGCTGGAGGAGATTGCTGGACAGTGCTGGGCTCCTGGCTCCGTTCCTAACCCTTTTCCCTACGGCAGGTACAACACGGATCAATTCTCCCCCTACGCTGTCCCGTCCCCGCAGGGCTCTTACCAGCCCAGCCCGAGCCCTCAAAGCTACCACCAAGTAGCCCCCAGCCCTGTGGGCTACCAGAACACCCACTCGCCGGCCAGCTACCACCCTACACCATCACCCATGGCATACCAGGTAGGCGGGGGATAGGGGCTGTGGCTCTAGGCAGCAAAGAGTTCATGTTTGGGAACAGGGAGCTCCCCGACTTGGGGTGGAGGGGGACCCTCCCCGAGTGCCACTCTCATCCCCTTTTCCCTGCCCTGTGCTCCATCTGCCGTGTACTACAGACGGAGGCCACCCCTCTAACTCAGCTTCTTTTACCTCCCTGTCACGCAGGCCAGCCCGAGCCCCAGCCCAGTGGGCTATAGTCCCATGACACCAGGAGCCCCATCCCCAGGGGGTTACAACCCGCACACCCCTGGGTCCGGGATCGAGCAGAGCTCCAGCGACTGGGTCACCACCGACATCCAGGTCAAAGTGCGAGACACCTACCTGGACAGCCAGGTGGTGGGGCAGACCGGAGTCATCCGCAGCGTGACGGTGCGTTGGGAGCTGTACCTGGGGTGTGAGGCAGTTACCAAGGGGGTTGGGCAGTTAATCTGGGATGCTCCCCACCACTCTCAGACATTTGTTTCCCCCCCACGTGGGGTGAAAGTGGGGAGCTTGTGGGCACCGGGAGCGGAGAGTTCAGCCAGATCCAGCCGGGGGCTGGACCTGTGCTGGTGGAAGGGGCATCGGGGGCTGTGGGGTGCAGGAGTGCGGGGCACAGCCTCGGGGTTGCCATGTCCTGGACCCTCGATGGCTGTGAGGGGGAGAGGAACGGGGGAAACCCTGCTTGGACCCCATCACTCCCCCGTTCAGCGCCGCTCTCTGCCGCCATGTGACACAGGAGACCTGGCAGGATGGACCTGGGGTCTGACCCGGTCCACAGCAGCTCCGAGGTTCCAACCCTCCCACCCCAAGGAATATAACAAAAGGCTCGAGGGCGACACAAACTCATCATTCACAAACCTGTTGCTCTAACCACTGACCTATGGAGCCAGGCCTCGTGTCCGGCACAAAGGAGCCCTTGCTAGTGCAAAGGTTGTTGCTACGAGGATGGGAGTTTGCTCAAATGCTCGTAACAAAGCCTCAAGCCTGGTTATGGGATGCAGAGAGGCCCAACCCCTAGATCCACTTCAGAAGGGACCAGATCCTTACCTAGCAAGGTCCCCCCTCTCCTGCCTCCCCAGCTGAAGCTGCCGCCTGACTTCCCTGCTTCCTCCCCTCCAGGGTGGCATGTGCTCCGTGTACCTCAAGGACAGCGAGAAGGTCGTCAGCATCTCCAGCGAGCACCTGGAGCCCGTCACACCTACCAAGAACAACAAGGTATGCGGCTGCCCCCAGAGCTGGGCTGAGGGGCATCGGGCAGGCTCGGATATACAGGGAGGTTGGTCCTTGGAAGGCCCTGAGCAGGGTGAACCCCACTGGAGGGGTGTCACGTAGCTAATGCAGGGGTCATACTGACCCACAGCAGGGGGGTGTCAGGGTGGGAAAGGACCTGGATGAAAACCCTATTTTCACCCCCCTGCTCCATCACCCACGGGTGTTCCCGGCTCATCTTCCCCAATTGGCCGGTCTCGGTTGCCTCGCATTTGGATTGGCTGTGACGCACTTGGGAAGGCTCGAGGCTTTGTGCAACGATTGGCCCCCGAGCTCAGCTTCACAGCCCACATCCCAATCGTGGCACATCCAAGGGACCTGCATGGCCCAAGCTCCCCACACCTGTCTCAGCCTCTCCATGCCTGACCCCGCATCTCCCGCTCCTCCCTCCCAGGTGAAGGTGATCCTCGGGGAAGACCGGGAAGCCACAGGTGTCCTCTTGAGCATCGACGGCGAGGACGGCATCGTGCGCATGGACCTGGAGGAACAGCTCAAGATCCTGAACCTGCGGTTTTTGGGCAAGCTGCTGGAGCCGTAGGGCCCATGGGAGCCTCTGGCAGCCCCCCAAGACTGGCCTGTGCAGCGCGGGGAAGGGGAAGGAGCTCTCCCAGGGAGAGGGGGGTGTTGCTTTTAGTTCTTTTCCACACTCTATTTTGTTTTGGGGGGTGGGTTTTAGTTGTAGTCTGGCAGGTGCGTGTCTTAGCAAAGCCGGGGCCACAGGGAGGGGAGGGAGGGGGCAAGGGTAGAGGCTGTAGCACATACCACGCTTCACTGGCTTCTGTTTGGGGAACCCTTTCATCTGCCCATGTCCAAATAAACCTCTCTCTTTCCCCCCCTGCACCCATGCCCTCCGTCTATGTCAGCGGGGAAGACCGGCGGGGGGTCCAG